GACAGAGGTTTAGATACTGTACTGTCATTACGATTGCCCACAGACTCAACACTATCATCGACTCCGACAAAGTGATGGTAAGCCAGGGTTTGATAGGGGGTTGGGTTCGCATCACTTGTGTTGTACTTATTGACTATGTATTGACTGATCAGGTGTTAGACGCGGGACAAGTGGTTGAGTACGACATTCCCCACAAATTATTGGACACAAGCGATGGTCTGTTCAGCAAATTAGTCAAACAATCGGGAAAAGACATATCTATTAAATTGAAACAAATGGCAAAACAATACTATTGTCACAAAAATAGTATTAATTTGAATGAGAAAAATAACGAAAATGACGATGAAATTGGACAGCGATTATAACGGGGAATAATAAAACGATGTTTATTAAATGTTATTCAATTTATTTATTTTTAAAATAACTTTATATTTTTAATAGTCAATTATTTAATCTTATAAATGTTAACAATATTAATCTTTCACATCAATTCATATTACACTTTCACAGGAATTTTTATTATTATATATTTTTATAAATAAATATATTATATTAACAAAAAATAACTGTCTAAAGACCAAGAGGTAACAGTCATTTATTTTATATTTATATTATATTTCATATTATATTATATTAAATGCCCTACTTTTGATTGTTAAATAAAATTTATTTTGAATCAATCGACCAAGTAACTTTTAAATAATAACAAATTACTTTTGGTGCCTTAAATCCTCATGGTGCCCAACCCTGTACATATTTATATAACAATAAAGATCACACTAATGTAATTTATGTCCACACAATTAAACCTACAAAACATTTACATTACTTACTTACTTATATATTTATTTAAAACACCTAATAACTTATTAGTAATAACTAATGTAGAGTTAAATATTATATAAAGGTGAGTAAAATTGGCAGAAGTACATTAATTCCTGTAACATGCAGGAATTAAAGAATATTCACAAAGTACAGGTAAGGGTCATTTTTGTATATTGAAAAGTACAATACATGCATAAATATTTTAGGCTTTGCTGTACAGGCCTACTGTTAATGAGTAATAGACATCTTACATATTTGTATTATCTTATTATCTATTGATACATTTACATTGTATGCATAAACACTAAATACTGTTATGTTATTTTTAAATAAAGTAGAATATAAAAAATATGCAATATTATTATATTCTCTGTATATGTAAAATATATTAAAAGTATAAAAAACATAATGAATGTAAGATAAGCTTTAAATCACATCAACTAATTATTTTACTGTTATATAATAATGTAATCACTAATTAATCAAGAAGTTATTTATTGGATTGTTATAATTTAAATAGACGTTAAAAATAATTGATAAATAAACATATATTTAAAACAGCGAATAAATTAATTAAGAATTATAACGAATTTATTAAATCACTCTTCTTTGCAATCGCTGTCCACTTCCTCTTCATTTTCGTTGTCTTTTTCATCAAAATTGATACCATTTTTGTGATAATAGTATTGTTTCGCCATTTGTTTCAATCTAATAGTCATGTGATTTCCCGTCTGTTTCACTAATTTGCTGAACAGACCATCGCTTGTGTCCAACAAATGGTGGGGAATGTCGTACTCAACCACTTGTCCCGCGTCTAACACCTGATCAGTGAATTCGTTATTATTGTTATTTAATTTATTCGTTGTATGAACA